TCAGAGAGGATGGGAGAGGGAGACAGAAACATCCATGATGAGAGAGACTCATCGACCGGCTGCCTCCTGCACGCCCCACACTGGGGATGGAGCCTGCAACCCGGGCCTGTGCCCTGAGCGGGAATGGAACCGTGACCTCCTGGGTCAGAGGTCAACACTCAACCACTGAGCCACCCGGCCAGGCCTAGGTCCCCTTATACATGAGGCGCTGTCAGGACAGGATGACACAGAGTGGACCTCACAGTGCTCAGAGCAGGGACAGGAAAGAAGTTCGATTTCAGAATGTCAGCTCTGGTCAGCCGCTCACGGCTAGTGGTGTTGGTTTGGGCTGGATCCTAAGTCAACTGAACCCACGCTTGCAGGGGGCTGCCTTGACCAGGGAGTACGCCGGCCTGGGACCGGGCGGGTGGCCCCCCTCTCCGGTACAGCAGTGCGCCGCAGGAGCCCGCACCTGGAGTGTGGTCAGCAATTAATTAAAAAATGTGCCCGGTCTGCGTGGCTCAGTGGTCGACCCAGGAACCAGGAGATCACGGTTCGATTCCCGGTCAGGGCACAGGCCCGGGTTGCAGGCTCCATCCCCAGTGTGGGGCGGGCAGGAGGCAGCCGATCCATGATTCTCTCTCATCATTGATGTCTCTCTCTCCCTCCCTCTCCCCGCCTCTCTGAAATCGATTTTAAAAACTCCAGCTGCTGTCCTCAGGGTCACCACCTGCATCATCACTGTGACCCGGGAGACTGTCCTGCCAGCACCATCGCTGGGGGAGCTGGAGGCCTTATCGCAGGCGCCTCCTGGCGTCCCCCCGGGAGACGAGGACTTGGACAGACTGTCCTTTGGCAGACCTGGCCGGCTCAGATTGTCCTCTCCCTCCCTGTCTGTGGTGCAGGCAGGCGCGCACGCACGCACACACACGCACACACATACACATGCACATGCACACATACACGCACACGTAGGTTTTGTCTTCAGAGCCAGCTTTCTGGTCCCTGCCTTGTGCGGTGCGGCAGAGAAAGCAGAGGCCCAGCACCGGCCAGAGGCCGGGCATCGCGGAACAGCTCCGGCAGGACGGGCCCCGCCCCCGCTGAGCTGGCCCTGTCTGAGCCCCCGCATCCCATGCGGCCCAAGGAGGACCCGGGCAAAGTCATGGCCCGAGTTTAAAATTTAACAGTTGGCCCCGCAGGTGTGGCTCCGTGATTGAGCATCGACCTATGAACCAGGAGGTCACGGTTCGATTCCTGGTCAGGGCCCAGGCCCAGGTCGCGGGCTCCATCCCCAGTGGGGGGCGTGCAGGAGGCAGCCGGTCCCTGATTCTCTCTCATCATGGATGTTTCTCTCTCTCTCCTTCTCCCTTCCTCTCTGAAATCATTAGAAACATATTTTAAAAATAAATAAATATCATGTAAGAACTGCACAGATGAATACACGCTCCTACTCTCTTCAGACACAGATCAGATCCCTGGAACGTCTCCGTCTACGGCAGTTTTCAGCCAACAAAGCATTCACGGGCTGGGGCCGGGTCTCGGCCCACGCCCGTCTCCTGTCCCGTGGCACCTCCGCGTGACTGGCCCTGGTGCAGGGCACAGAGGGGCGTGGGGGCCTCCTGGCGGGGCCGCGGGGATCTAACGACCGGCTGGGAGAGCAGCCCCAGTCCTGCTGTAGCCACCGGATGCGTGTGACACACGGACAGACGGGCGGCCGGTCACAGCCGAGCAGACGAGACGCGTGAGGACGCGGGGAGGAGAAAGCGCCTGCCCTCCCCGCCCAGGAACGCCTGCGCGTCCCCACGGCTCCCACAGAATAACCAGAGGGAGGCCCGGCGGGAAAGGGGAGAACGGAGCGGCCGCTCCGGACAGTGCGACGGCCCCCATTCCGGAAGACGCACGAGCGCCTGGAACAGAAATGCGGGTGAGAACTACCGTGAGGCACAGACTTCCGCCCGTCTCGGTTGTTGGACGTGTTCCCTCATGAAGAGTTTTCATTCTTCGTGAATTAAAGACAAAATGCCGGCTTTATGAAGCATACAGCCCATCGCCTGATTTGGAGCTTGACTCAAACTGTCAGGAAAGAGGAGCCTGGGACGGGCTGGGGCTGCGTGGAAGGTGGAGGGACTGGGAAGGACAGACGGCAGGCACCCAGAGGCCCGGGATGTAAGCACAGCCCAGGGAACAGTCCGTGAGGCCGTAGTGACGATGTGGGAACTAGGAAGCAGGTGGGTACAGACGCGTCAGGGGGATCAGTCTGTAAGTTATGCAAATGTCTCCCCACATGCTTTGCACCCGAAACTAACATAAAATAATACCGAATGTAAGCTGTACCTGAAAAACAAAATAAAATTTTAAAAAAGAGCAGCCCGGCCGGTGTGGCTCAGTGGGTGAGCGTCGACCTAGGAACCCGGAGGTCAGGGTTCGATTCCTGATCGGGGCACAGGCCCAAGTTACGGGCTCGATCCTCAGTGTGGGGTGTGCAGGAGGCAGCGATCCATGATACCCTCTCTCACTTGCACTTCTTTTCCAGAAAGAGATGTTTCTATGTCTTTCTCCCTCTCCCTTCCTCTCTGAAATCAATTTTAAAAATATTTTTAAGAAGAGCATAAGACGGCCAAGAAAACGTGAACGCCGTGATGATATTAACTTTGGTGATATTAAGTTACTTCTTAGGTCTGATAACAAGCAACAGAATCCTTCTCTTTTGGATAAAAAAATATTGAAATGTTTGTAGAAGAAACAATCCAATACATCAAAGTTGCTTCAAAATAAATCTGGAAAGAGGAAGACAGGTGGGGACCACTGGCCTCCAGTCATGGGGCTCACTGAGGTCATTCTCGTCTCTATTTTATAAATGCCTGACATGTTTAACACTAACATGTTAAAAGACATGCACGCACGCACATGCACACGCACAATCGATTCCGTTTTCGTTCACCCGACGGGCGGTGAGCTCCGTTAGCAGCGAGCGCTCCCCTGTGTCGTGGCAGCCCCTACATTAGAACCCTCCTCTGAAGTCGGCGTGGCTTTTCAGTTCCACAAAGTCACCCTGTGGCTTAGCATCGCCACTTCCAGGTGGTGCGTCCGACAGACAGACTCATGCCTGGATGGACAGTCACCGCACCATTTTCCCAACAGCCAGGAAGGAGGGCAGGGTGAGCAGCCACGGGGTGGCTGAGCGAATCACGCCAGTAGACGGAGACAGCCCCCACCCGCGGAGCCGCTGCAACCTAACGGCCAAAAGCACAAAAGCGAGGGAGCTCTCTGGGGTTAATATGAAATGATGCCCCCCCAGATGAAGTAGAAAACTACCGAGGCAGCACAGGTGGGTAGTGACTGAGTTAGAACAAAACCAGGGGGCGGTGTGCACCCCAAGGAGCTTACAGATAGCAGGCTATTTCTGGGCGGCACTGCAGGAAGCCGGCACCTCTGGTGGGGGCAGGGCTCGTCCTGGGCCTGGGGGATGGGGCGGGAAGGGGACTGCTCTCCACAGCCCAGGGATGGTTCCCCCCTGTGCGCGTCTTAGATGAATTCTCATTTAGCGCTGAGGTTGGTCCCTGGCAGGGAGGCTCAGGGGCCGAGTGTCGACCTAGGAACCAGGAGGTCACAGTTCGATTCCTGGTCAGGGCACAGGCCCGGGTTGTGGGCTCGATCCCCAGTTGGAGGCAGAGCTCCTGAGACCCCAGCTCCTCTGGTGCCAGAGGCTGGAGGCACCAGCAGGGATCCGAGCGGGGCTCCAGGCCCCGGAGTGTTGCTAAGCAGCTGCCCCTCTGCTGTTCCCAAACACAGCGTTGCCTGTACACACCTCGCATGGGGGCGCGCACACACACACACACCCCAGCCAAACTTCCATGACCCAGGCTCGATTACACAACCTTGGGAAGTGGGGCTCCCAGAGATGCCACCCTCCACCCCCAGGCTCCGGCTCCTGCCCGTCCGGCCTGTGTGCCCCTGGGTCCCTGTCAACACCTCCGGCAGGCAGCTGCACTCTCGCCCACACGGGGACAGGGCACAAGGTTGCGGACAGGAAGGGTGGGGGCTGGGTTTCTGAATGGGGCCCTGTCGGGGTAGACGGGCCGCTCCCCGCTGGCCACCCACGGGGGACACAGAGGAGCAAAGAGGTCATGGCGTGGGAGGGAGCTTCAAGGTCCCACGTCCCCTCAGGGCCTGTGTCCCCTGGAGCTGCCCACTGCTCACAGCTCACTGCCCCCATCTGAACCCGCCTATGACCTTCACGGCTCTGCTCCCCTTTTCCTCATCAACTGGTCCCACAGGAGGCACAAGAGGGGAGAAGAGGCCCGGCCAGTGTGGCTCAGTGATTAGCATCGACCTAGGAACCAGGAGGTCACGGTGCGATTCCGGTCAGGGCACAGGCCCGGGTTGCAGGCTCGATCCCCAGCGGGGGGCCTGCAGGAGGCAACTGATCCATGATTCTCATCATTGATGTTCCTCTCTCTTTCTCTCTCCCCCTTGCTCTCTGACATCAATAAGAATATATTAAAAGGAGAAGGAGGAGGAGGAGGAGGAGGGGGAGAGGGAGGAGGAGAAGAGACAAAAGTTTA